ATCACACAGATAATTGTTGAATTTTTAGAAACCTTGTGGGACTTAGAAAAGGGAGAAAAAGAGTCCAAAAGGGACTTAAAGATGGCTTGACACATGGGAAGTAGGGCACACATGGGTCGCATATATGGGCCGCGTGATCGCACGGGCAGGTTGTGCAACCTCACAGGTCTCCTTTGCGCGAACGCTAGAGCTGGACGTGCACCTGGCTTACAGTGTACATGCTCATGGCACGCACATGCGACAAGCTATCTATGTGTATGCTCGTGCGTGTTGTGGCATACAGAGCTGGCTGTTCGCACACACATGGATGCTCTGTATGCGGGTGGGCTATCGCATGCTTAAATAAGCATTGCAGGGCGTGTGAGTGCTACTACATGCACAACCTACGTGCTTGGCCATCCGAGTGAAGGGGAAAATAGTCGTATCCAATGGGTATCCACACTCAAATCACTTATTAGGCTTCCTTTTAGTCTAGGATTCGTGGGGCGAATCTTTCTTGGCCGTGAGATTCAATAATTTTCTCGTTTCTTGTCTTTTTTTTATTTTGAATCCTTTTAGGCAAAGGTTCAGATTTCTTTAATCTTAATTCACTACCTTGGCCTTGTACCTGGGTGGATTCAACTTGAGCACTTTCTGTTCGAGAACACTTTCAAATATATCCATAAAGCTCATTGTTGTTTAACCTTTTCTACCCTTCGTTGGTCACATGAACCTCCTGTTTATCTCTAGGAATTTTCTCAATTATTATCACATAATCCCCTTTTTCTTTGAGAGGATTCGTCCTCGAATCTGTACTTTTTAAAACTTTCTCATCCAAGGACAAAGAGGTTAAGGAAAACACCAAGTAATCTATAAATTAACTAGGAACATCTGTTTGCTACTAGACGAGGAAATAATTCCTGGTCCCTATGGGGACATTATTTCCCTCTGCTTGCCGTCCTATGAACTCATCATAGGACTCCATAATTTTGAGCTGGTCTTCATATGCTTCCCTCCATCCTAAGGGAGTCAAGACATGGGTGAGACCCCCTATTTGTATGGAATAATGACTTTTCCACCAAGATGTCTAACATCTCTGTCGTACTGCCATGATTGTCTTAACAACAAGTGTGATATCCTAGGTGCCAATTAAGGCAAATGGGTGTCAAATACAGATTCAGAATAATGAGTACATGATAATATTTATGCAGCAGAATCAAACCTTAATAAATCCCTTATAAATATATATATATTGTTTTAAATACATGCATCACTGAGGCCAAAATAAGGCTATAAAATACAATACATAAGGGCCACTTCTTTCGCCATGCTATTGGAATTCATTAGAGTGCGGGAACAGTCAAGCACTCAGACTTGCAGATCCACGAGATCTTTATAGACTTTTAAGGGTAGGTTTGCCTGCAGTTGCTCGTTTTCTTCCTCATCTGGAGGGGATAGAAAAAGTGAGTTCCATATGCTCAGTAAGAAAAATAATATTAAATTAACATCGTAAGAGTTCAAAAGTTTAGTTTTTCATCTCACCATTTAGATTCCTTGTTTACCTAACTCATAATTAAAAAGAAATCATTTATTTAAATATCAAAATAATACATTAGCACAGAAAATCAAATATACATATATCATGTCAAATAATAGAGAAAATCAAATAACCCATGAAATGCACAGATTTTTTATGTCATGTTTCGCGAAGTCGTTATAAACTTCCATCTCTGAGGGCAGATACAGATTTTCAATTGCTCAAGTGGAATGACCAGATCGGATACAGATATAGTAATTTGCTCAGGCCCACTTCCGGCTAGCCAAACCATGATACAATCTATAACCACGGTTGTACCAACCATAGTGGTCCTAACAGATATCTATAGTCACTATATTATTTAGCTGCGACTGACCCCTACAGATAGTGCGATACCACTTTCGTTAGAGGGCATGCTGTAATCCACTATGAGCGGTCCTCTTACGTCTTTCTAGACCAGATAAGGGAGGAAAAAATAGATACCCCGAAGGAGATAAAAAGCCTAATGAGACATTTGATGCAATATGCATATCAATACAGATACACTTTGAATCATACAGGATTCACTTCACCATTCTCTTTTTTTTTTCTTTTTAATTTTACTATTATGTACTACATATTACATATATTACATCCAAATTCATCAAGTGTTAGTAATTCACATAGCAGGCTTTAAAATCAGAACAATTTGTCTCACTTGAGCACAGAGGCATGAAAAACAGACAAAATAACAATCATATTAAATTACTTATCTAACAATACTCCTTAAGACGTAGAAAATGAAACTAGATTTCTTACCGAAACCTTAATGTTTCCTTCTTCACCGTTTTCCCTTTCTTTCTCTTTTCTCTCACTAAGTTACTATTTCTCTTTCTCTCACTCTAAACCATTGGAAAATGGAAGAAATGAAAGTGTGGAAAGGAAGGGAAATGGAACAGAAATTGATAGAATTTCAGAACCAATAGATTTGCGCCAAGTGAAAAAATTCAATGAAGAGAGGAGAAAAGATTTTTGGCACAAAAAATAAGGGAGAAAAATTTCCTCCACCGGCAGTGGCAGCGGTGGTGCACTACTTGAGGTGGCAATGCTTGGCCAGTGCATTATAGGCTAGCCTGCAGGCACACAGTCCTACTGCCGCGTGCGTGCAAGACCTAAGTGTATTGGGCACCATGCACGTAGGCCTTAAGTGTATAGGGCCTGTCTGCGTAGGCCTACTGTACGAACATCACACGCACAGTGCGCGACATTAGTCCGTGCGCGAAATGACGGGCGAACGGCTCGCCAGTGTGCGACAAGACACGCGCGCAGGTCTTAACCCCGTGCCGTGCGCACAGAGGGGACATGCGCACTGTGCGCACACCCCGCGGCTAATGTGAGCGCATGCATGTGCACACAGTGCCTAGCACTCGCATGGGCAAACTATTTTCTCCCAGGATTTTTTCCGCGAGTAAATTTTCTCCCGTTTCACCATTTTTCGATTGTTTTTTAAATTTTTTCTTTGAAGTAAAATAGAATAAAATAAAATATTTTAAAATAAAATCAAGTAAAATAAATAAAAATAAAAATAGATCAAAATCACGAATCTCGAAAAATATTAAACAACATAAACTAATTTAAGTTTAAGGTGGCCAAAGGCCCTAATAATAGAGTTTTCCGATCATTTTAGCACAGTGATAGGTGGGGTGTTACATCCCTCCCACCTAAACAAATTGATCCCAAATTCGTCTCGAATAAGTCGAGATATTTTTTCCTTATTTCATCCTCCAACTCCGATGTCGCTTCTTCTAGGGCGTGATGCTGCCAACGTACCTTTACCATGGGAATCATCTTATTACGTAAGACCTTATCAGTCCACCCGAGAATTTACACAGGAACCTCCTCATAGGTCATATTGGCCTGTACCTGTAACTCATCATGAGGAATAACATGAGAAGGATTAAGGTTGTACCTCTTAAGCATCGAAACATGAAAGACATCATGTAAACTCGCGAACTCCCGTGACAGAGTTAGGTGGTAAGCCACGGGTCCAATGCGCTCGATGATCAGAAAAGGTCCCACATAACGAGGGCTCAACTTCCCTCTCTTTCAAAATCGCATCTTGCCTTTGTAGAGGTAGACTTTAAGGAAAACTTAATGTCCCACAGCAAACTCCAAGGGTCACCTATGATTATCAGCGTAACTCTTTTGGCGACTTTAGGAAATTTTCATATTCTTACGGATGATTGCGACCTTCTCTATGGTCTCATGAATGAAGTCTGGTCCTAAGTGATGCTCATTCCCGACTTCACTCCAGTAAGTGGAGGAACGACAAGACCTTCCATACAAAGCTTTATACAGGGCCATATTGATGCTGGAATGGTAACTGTTATTATAAGTGAATTCACAAACAGGAAGATACTTACATTAGTTATCACTAAAGTCGAGAACGTAAGCACGCAACATGTCCTTCAATGTCTGAATCGTATGCTCAGACTAACCATCTGTCTGGGAATGATAAATGGCGCCAAAGTACAACCCGGACCCCAAGGCTTCTTGGAAGCTGTCCTAAAAGTGGGAGGTGAACCAGGGGTCATGGTCGGATGCAATGGATGAGGGAACTCCATGAAGTCAAACAATCTCATCCACATATAGGTGGGCTAGCTTACTAGTAGAATATGTGGTTTGAATATGCAGGAAATGGGCAATTTTGGTCAGCCTATCTACAATGACCCAAATGGCATTTCGACCAGAACAGGTCCTGGGTAAACCAATGATAAAATTCATAGTCACATACTCCTATTTCCATTCGGGAATCGAAAGACCCTGTAGCAAGACACTGGATCTCTGATGTTCTGCCTTTATCTGTTGACAAGTAAGGCATCGAGAGACGTAGTCAACAATATACTTCTTCATTCTTATCCACCAATATTGTCATTTTAAGTCCCGGTACATCTTCGTACTTCTAGGATGAATGGACAACTTAGAAGCATGGGCGATCTTAAGTACATTTGTGCGTAATGCATCTTGGACCCAAATTCTGTTCCAAAATCTAAACAATCCGTTTTCCAGAATCTAAACAACTTAGAAGCGTGCTCGTGTGCACAGTGCTGAGCACTCACGCAAGCAACTTAACTCCCCACAAGATTTTTTTCACAGGATTTTCTTCCCAATTTGCTGTTTTTCGATTTTTTTCTCAATTTTTATATTTTATTTAAATAAGTTAGACTTTAAATTAAATTAAATTAATTAAAATAAAATTGAATAAAAATTAAATAATTAAAAAATCAACTAAAATTATGAAATACAATAAATATTAAACATCATAAATTAATTATATTTACCGTAATAAATAGAATTTTTAAATCATTTAAGTACATTAATGGAGGGGGTGTTAGGCAGGACGTGCACATTAGTCTTAAAAGACACAACAAGGATCCCATGCGTTTATCTGCCTTTCACTTTGTCGTCTTCTCTTCATTCTTATCTGGAAGAGAGAGAGAAAAAAAGAAATGGAAAGTGGAGAGAGAGAGACAGAAAAGAAAGAGAGAAAACAGGAGAGAGAGAACGAAAACGAAGCATCCGTGCGCGGAGTGCTCTCCTGAGAATAAATCAGTTTCCTTCTCCTGGGTGATGGGGATCTGGACTTCTGGAGCTTCATTCTTCCTTCCTCTTGCTGTCCATGATCTTCTTTAGCAAAGAAACCCACCCAGAATGCGCAACAAGCTTCGAATAGAAGCTACTCCCGTTCCCATTGTCAATGCACACCTGCTGCAGGTAGGTGTTGTTCTTATGGTCTTTTCGCTATCCTTCTATTGTTTTCTTGTAATCAGAGAGTCCTTAGACACTCCCTTATGTGTTAAGATCATTATCCATTAATTTACTGCAGCTGATTCTTTCCCGAATGCTACTGAAGTCGCTGCAAACACACCCAGCTCTACAGATTCTGTCATGGCGTATTGCAGACATGTCTTGGGCGATTGGGGGCAAATGGCTCATGTGTTTGGTCCCAAATTTGGTCTCCATTGAGGTGCGAATTGTAGTACTTTCTTGAACGCTTTTAATGGATTTTCGATATGCATTTAGAAGGTAAATTTTGGTGAAAACGGTGGCAAAACATGATTTTAACGGAAAACAGAGTGTGTGTGTGTTCGTGTGATTTTTTGTAATTAATTGGTGTTTTTATTGATTTTTTGTTGTATTTTAATGTTGGCTAATGTGTTTGGTGTTTTAGGATTAGAAATCACAAAAGAAGAAAAATGGAAGAAAATGGCATAGGATAGCAGGGGAGGCAATCTGCCTCTCTCCGCGTCGGGTCCTGGGTGTCAAAGTGTCGGGACAGCACACAGACACAGTCTGCTGAGCAAGCGGGCGCGCGCGGGAGACGCGTCTAGGCACCAGCATGTGCAGAGGCAAATGCCCTGGCGCGCGCATGCTCTGGTAACCTGCCTAGACGCCGAGAGGGATGCGTGGGCACGGGCCTGGAGACATGAATTCGGATTCGCAGGATTTATTCCCCGTCTAGGCACCAGCATGCGCAGAGGTTAATGGCCTTCGGGTTTTTGAGAGAAGAAAATGGAAATTTAGAAAAAGGGAAAAAAAATTAGGAAACTAACAGACTAACAGAAAATGAAGAAAAAGGGATTAGGAAATAATTGGAAAGAAAATAGATAGAAAATATATATGTATTAATTTATAATAATTTGGAAATAAGATTAATTAAATAGAGGAATTCGAAAAATGGAATTTGAATAAAATATCTTAGAGAAATAAAGGAAACAATTGGGTTAAATAAATGAGAATAAATTGGGTAATAAATTAATTAATTTTAGGATACTAGAATAAAAGAAATAAGTGGAAATAGAAACTAATAAATAATAAAATAGGGAAATTATAAATAATAAATTATTCTTAAATTATTCTTAATTTCTTATTTTTCAATAAGAAATTTTAAATAATTAATTTAATAAAAAATTTGGTAAATTAGCCTAAAATGTAACTTAAAAAAAGATGAAACCAATAAATTGAGAAATTATAAAAAAAAAAAAATTAAGAATAGAAATGGGACAAATAATTTAATAGAAATTAGGAAACCAAAATGGGGAATTTGGTAGCAAAATAAGAAGAAAGAAAATTATAACTAATAAATTATTGATAATTTATTAATTATAAATAATTAAATATGGAAAAGTAATTAATTAAAAGAAGATTCAGTAAAATAGCCTAAGATAGATATTCAGTAAATTAAGAATAAATTGAATTTAAATAATCTAATTTAAAATAATAGAAATTAAAAGAAAATAAGGTAACATAAAATAAAACGAATAAACTAGGAAATTAACATAATTAATATTAATATTATTACATAGAAAAATTGGAATAGAATATAAATAATTAAAAATATAATAAGATGAAAATTAACAAATAGATTAAATCACCTAGATAAAATTAGGGCTTAATTTAAAAGGGTATGCTTGTATTTAAGTTTCTTTATTTTGTTGTATATACATTGTTTCCTTATTGAATTGTAAAGGTTATTATTGCTAAAGCAATTAAAAATTAATTGTAATGGAATGCATGAACTGTAAAGGGAAAATGGTAAAGGGATTGTTAATGATACGGTAAGGTACAGGTACACTATGGTAAGAACATGAGAAGGCAAAAATGGGGGAAACAATAGAGTTAGGTTGATTAGGTCTAGGATAATTTAGGGATTATGTCTAAAAAGAAAGATGTGTCCAAGTGTATAATAAAACTTAATTCACCAAGTAGTCTTGTAAATCTGGTCCATCTGATTTCTTTGGAGGGGCATTGGTGTTGGTTTAGAGCCATTAGGCTATGGGTGCTAGTTATTAAGTTCCATATTGGAACTGTGGTTCAGTTGTCCTTAGGACTTTGAATTGATTGCTATCCATACTTTAGGGCCCATGGGCATGGATGATGGCAACGGAAGAGAAAGTGTGAATGCATGATTTTATGGGTAATATATTGTTATTATTATTGTGATTGATTGTGCACCTGTCTATAGCTAGTTGATGTCCATATTGCCCTTCTTAGAAATAGATGGTAGCGGTTGCACGTGTAGGTATGGTAATGTAAACCTAATTAAACATATAAGTGAACGTAAAAAATTTAATAAAGAAGAAGAGTCTGTGAGTCAATCTAGTATCAGAGTCAGCCATCATAGTCAATCCCAGATGTGTGTAGAGGTTTGCATGTTCTTGATTTGTATGGAATTGTATGGGGTATCGAGGTTTGGAAGATGGGAACAACTATGGTATTGAGGATTGCATGTATCGATTGTAATGTAGGGAATTACAGGGTAAGAATTGTGAGATTAGGATCGATGGATTGATTGTATGGTATCGATTGATTGACTATTTTTATTTTATTGATAAAAAAGTTTTCTAAAATAACACATTGCATTTTGTAAAAAGATTTTCACTGAAAGTATTTAAAAAGGGTTTTCAAATATTATTGATGGTCTATTAGTACTGTGTTTCTTATTAAGTTGCGTAAAACTCACCCCAATCCTCATTGTCTTTTCAGGTTAGGGAATCCTAATAGGGTTAGCAGCTAGTGAGATGTGAAGATTGTCCCCTAGCTTGAGGATGAATCTACTTGTTAAGAATTATTATAAATTAGTTTTAAATCATGTGGATCAACTGTTTCATATAGTGGTATTTATTTTTGAAATTTTAATCTAAAGGATGTTTATTTTTATGCAGTCCATTTTATTTAAATAAAATTTTATGGTTGCATGTTTTGGATCAACTGGTTGGCAACTATTCTCAGGAAGCTAGGAATGAGATATCATAGATAAAAACTTGAGCACAAAGAAACGATTCGTACTTACAGTATAAAGGATCCGATCAATCCCGATGGATATAACCAGAAGGTTTTCCTATTTATACTACCCGATGCTGGCTATGCTCTACGAATAATTAAGTTTCTCTATGCTAAATATATACAGACTCAATGGTGCAATGCTTTCAAATCAAAGCATGGAGCAATGATTTTCACGCATCTTGAAAAGACGGTTAATCTTCCTTGCTCTTGTAAATGCAAAACAAAAGCTTTCGCTTACACCTGTAAGGTGAGGTACTCTTCTTTCGACAAATTGAAAGTTTTCGTCATACAGGTAGGCAACTGTTCTTCTTTTGTTTATGATGAAATAGAATGACTCAAGTTGCCTTATGGGGTGCAACTAGTTTTCTTTGATTTTGTAATTTTTTATTTTTTTTTTGACTCAATAACACCAACAATCTATCACTTGAATAAACGAACAGGATAGAATCAAGTGGGATGAAATTTCACAAGTAAAACAAATTAGCAATGAGTTGTTTTGTTGTTAATTATGCAAAGATAATGTAAAGCAAAATAACATAGTAGGTCAAAGTAGGTGCCCAAGCTCTTATACCAAATAACGTGAGGTGGTGTGCGTTTACTCTATGAATTGAAAACACCTTGATCTTGAACGCACTATATTTAGCAAATAAAAAACTTAATTACCTATAACCCTCCCTATTAGAATCACAATCAGTGTATCAAAAGCTTATCCAAATAATTAGAAAAATAAAAAAGTAGAAAAAGACACCACATACTTACCCGATAAGTAAATATTGATTCCTTGCTCAATGAAACAATATAAAGCTCCTAACTTAAAGACACTTGAATAACTTGAAAAATTATCAAAGCTAATTTAAGCAAAAGCTTCATTATTGATATTTTGAATAATGTGTTTACAACCAGCGGACAAAGGCTTTTATATAGGCTTTTCTTAGGATAATTCTAAATGATTACAAAGACTTAGAAATTAATAAAATAATTCAAAGATAAAAGTCTATCCCAATCTAGAACTTAAAACATTAATTAAATAATCCTAAGAGATAAAATTATATTTAAATAATAATAAATTAATTAATAAAATAATGTAGATTTTACCCCATGTGATTTTGATGAATAAACACATGGAAAAAATGAAAAAAGGCTAAAACTTCATATAGGTTGTTGTAATTCAGGCCACTTAAATGGCATGGTGCGGCTGGCACACCCACATGTGCGCTTGATTATATGTAGGCGTGTGCAGCCCACCCGTGAACATA